ATTTAGTACATGAAAAATCTTCTTGAAGCATCCACTGATAAACAAATTAAACCGTTATGGCGTGTAACAGCATATCACCTGAAATTGTAGAAGGAAATAATAAGCATCAGGATTAAGAATCTAGCAGTAAATGAACCCACATTAAGATGATGTTAAAAAACGAGTAATATCGAAGAAATCATAATTATGACCAATACTGGTGTACTTTTCTTTTTCTCATGAATGCTGATAGAGAAAAATGTGTGCCTCTCGACATTAACTGATACGGGTCAGGATTTTGTTAACGCTGTGTGTAACTCTTTGCTCAAGACGTTGTGTGAAGGGCACAAAATCTCTTTAAATAATTAAAATATCTATTAAAATGTTATCAAGAAATTCCGAAACGAAATGTAAAGATTTTATTAACGTTAAATTAGTTCAGATCCTATCCGAATTCAATGCTGGTGGTACTAGACACATATTCAGAAGGAAAGTTTTGTGATTTTTAGTTTCCATTTTATATGAAGGCATAAATCCATCATAACACCTCGATATAGACACAGTAACTCGTCTAGGCAAGGACATCGCTAAGTGGATCTTGGAGGAGAAGCAACGTATGCCGTAGTTCTATAAGTCACGATCCCAGTTGGTTATAGCTGATGGTAGTGTTCGGACGTGGTGCCAAATACATTAAACCATGGATCCCAGTTGTTAGCAAGGCACTGTGCCAGCTGGTAGCGACAATTCTATGTGCCCCAGAAACGATGGCTTATTTAAACAAAACGATGTCATCGATCTCAACTTGTTCAGAATTTGTTTTGCGGAGCATTTTGCTTATTTTCAATGGTGAAATCTGCTTCAAACATAGCGAAAGTTAGTGGAACAAAATGGCAGATATGCATCTGAATACATCTATGTACAACTATCTAAATTTGAAATTCACTTGCGCCGATTATGTGTTCCGACCTAATATTTATATGATAAATATAAAATGTAAATATCAGCTTACAATATCTGTCTTTACTAGTAATATTTGGTTGTATGAGATCTTATTATGCAACTCGACGGCTGTTTATCCGATTGTAAACAAATATATACAATAATATAGCTATTCAAATTTATTTTTTAATTTTAGGTAAATAACGTTTGTCATGGGTTGTAGGGCAGAGATAACCTCAAAAGAGAAGCTATATATTGTAATGTAAACAGAAAGAAGTGTTTGGAAATTATAAAAATATTTGACAGATATCACAGAAAAAAATAACAGACTTTAAGAATGCTACAAAAAAAGATGAGAGAAATAGTAGATTGACCAGCAAGATGTTATTTGCAGAAACTGGTGTCGCTAATGTAAACAGAGAGATAAGAGGCAGAATATGAAGACTATTACCTAAACACATGAATGTAACCAGTCACCATATTTACATGAAGATCCCAAAGAAAAGCAATATATAAAAACTGATTCTCACCAGTAGTTTATAGTCATTGACGCAGAGTTATGTTGGATGGACATGATGGCTGAGATACATTTTCATTGTTTCATGTAAATCTTCACTCAACACGAATTAGCAGACAACAGCGAGAATTGCAAGCAACATTTGGGCAAAATTGTCGGCAGTAAAATTACACATTTTACTTTCGCAGTTAGTGATGGTATCAAGAGTAATACCTTATCTTTATAAGACTGGATGAAAAATAGATTGCTACCATGTATGTTCTAGAACTTCTCAATACTCACTTTCAAGCCTTGATAGAGTTCAAAGTCGTTTACGTTTACTTGTGCGGGGATGACTTATTTTCCACTCTGATGTCTTTTCTCCCCACAGACTTCAAGGGCTTTCGCTATCCTGTTGCTATTTGCATGGGCTCAGATGTGCCCCATTTTTTTTAGAATCACCAGTTCAAACATTTGCAGCTGGATGTTTCTCAGAACACGGCTATATTAATCTCTTTGAGTTAAGGGTCAGTCGCTATCTCGTCCCTAGTATAATTCCACTTCCTACCAATTCCTTTTAAATTCATATGATACACCTCTTTCAGTAACCCTCTGTATTGATTGACTATCGAGCATTGTAGTGGGTGAACTTTTGTGTAAATTGGTAAAAGTGAATTATTGTAAATAATTCTTGGATAAGATGTTTTTGATTTGCCCTGGTTCCAAAGCAGAAGTGTTCAGATAAAGAGAATATTCACGCTAAAAATATGCATCTTTACATTTCAAAGACATCGTATTAACGGAATGGCTCCCAACGGCATCAGATATTAAGTCTATAGAAATGTTGTGGTGAATCATTAAAATAATGAGTATGAGGACAGAAGCCAACATTTAAGCAATAGAATATCTTACAAGTAATGTCAAAAGCAAATAAACAGAATAACTACCAAAATCAGTGAATGATATGACCCGATATAAACATCTAAAATAAATAATAAATTCAGGGATATATGCTAATCAAATATATGAGTTGGAGCCAGTCTCTTTTGGAGTGATTCATAAAATTATCAGTATTTTACTAGCTCATAATAATACTCATTATAAACTTACATAGTATTAAATATAGAGTAGTATATATATATATATATATATATATATATATATATATATATATATATATATATATATATATATATATTACGATTCCAATGTAATATATATATATATATATATATTACGATTCCAATATAATAAATTATAACCTATGTATATGCGTGTGTGTGTGTGTGTGTGTGTGTGTTAGCTGATGTATCCCTTACAGCACTGGGAAAATATCGTGAAATATCAAATATAAAATATGTTTACTCGGGTATATCATATGAAAAAACGATTAATGAAAATTTAGCGCTTTTTGAAAAATATTCTGATGCATATAACAAACAAATGGTGTGGTAGTTTATGTTGAAAGAATTTTTGGGACATAACATTAGTGGCTCTCCAGTTTATGGAAAGCTTACTTGATGATTCAATCGTGCAATAACCACCATTGATAAATATAGGAAAAACAAGAAAGCAGATTAATTCAATGATCTTCAAAAATTGTCTCTGTCTACACTAAATGACCAAAGATTTAGTTTTCACCTGTGGTGATGACACTAAGAAGCTCCTGATAGTAAATTGTGTTCTGAAGAAACTCTGAAATGCTCATACGTCTGAACATTTTACGTCTGAACACTTGAACATACTACCTCTTTCGAGAAATCTTCTGCGAGAGCTTTCACTTTCTTTCTTCGAAAGCACCATTCCTTCATGTTAAATTGCCTTGCTCACAAATCCACCCGTAGTTTGAGGTGATTTTTTACATTGAAATCAGCTGAATTAATTAAGCATAATTCTGAAAACATTGTAATTCTTTTTAAAGGTATTGTTCACTATTACACAACGTTTTGCAACGAAAAAAAAAAAACAAAACAAAAAAAATAAAACTTTCTTTTTAACCTTCTGATATCTGTTAGTTGAATAAAATCTAATTTAAGCAAACATTGAAATTTAGTATCCACCACTGGTCACTAATGTCAACCTTTTGCCTTCAAGTATCTCCAAAACTATTTTGCTGCTACCCAGAAATTAACTGTACTTCCAATGATCCCCGTGAAGGAGAAGTTAAAAACTTGACAATATCCGTAATTATGAATTCAAACATCTTTTCGTATTTCATATCAAACTCAAAATCTCAGTTCATTTTACGAGAAATTCCTTGATTTGTTTAAAATTTATATGGCTTCCTTTTTGACGATTTTTGTTAAGCTCCAAGCTAAGGATCACATGGTTTTGTTACTGTTTTGTTTATTTTTATGTGAACACATCACACTTATTATTTTTTTTTTATTCCGTTTTCTGTTATTGACATCTTTTTTTTATTCATACAAAAAAAAATGGCTTCTTCAGATTTTCTCCTTGGCTGTCATGTCCAAGACGTACACATACACCAGCACAGCTGTAGTATACATACTTACAGGGGTACGCGGCCTTGTACGGATTATCTAAAATACATACAATTATATCACTTTAATATCATTTTTAAGAATTGGTTTAAAAAGAGGCTGGAAATCATCAATTGGTTTGCGACTTTTGAATATGTCACAAATAATGTCTTCATGCAATTTAAAAGAAAAGTTCAATAAGTTTATATATTTATAAAAACAAAACACAAAAAACACACTTAAAATGAAATTCTACATTTATTATTTCCTGAAAAAAGCCTTTGCTCAAAATACTGCACTAATTTGAATAATTACTTCATATGACTATTTTTTATAATCAAGTAATATTTTTAATGTCAGCTGTATCATATATTCATGCCTTTCCCAAGGTTAATAGTACAAAGTGAACATAAATTAGAAAAATTTGAACTCTTCTCGCATATTTCATTTATTACACGTTTAACCGTTTGTGGACTGGTACCATTGCAAGTATTTTTATATATATAAACAAACTTTATTTACACATACACATAGAATAAGGTCACTTCCGCTTTATGGGTTGTCTCTTTTTCGTACTGTTGCTTGAAATAATAGTTTTGACATTAAATTGACCTAAGTCGACTCTAATGATCTGTACAACCGATCTCATGTTCAGTTACCCGAATAGAATAATTTTACCTACCAAAGTCCAATCGTTTAGTTAGAATATTTTGGGTAAGGTATATACTCCGTTTATCATTAAAAAAAACTGGCTGCATTGTCTCATGAAAGCTATAAAAATACTCTTCTCAACTAAATCTATTTCGTTCTTAATTGATAGCTTTTGCTGGTACATAAGTAGAAACTCACATGTTAAGCATTTTACATATATAAAAATATTTTCATGGGTCAGTATCTAACGTGACGAAGCAGTTTTATTCACTCTGTGTGTTTTGCCTTGTGTCGGCCGACGCTATTCTTCATAAATATCTTCAGAGTGAGGCTTGATTAACTTCTTATTCAGCGTGGTAATTTTTGTATGAAAGTTGCCCCGAATAGGATGACACTTTCAGCTTACTCTGATTTGCTTTTATGAAATCAGGCACAAGGTTCATTTTTTTAAAATGCTTCACGTAAGACATTAGCAAAAGAAAGTGAAACTAATATTGATTTGATTCTTCCAGGATTGCATGCTCACAAGTGTGTAATCATGATTTGTACATGGAAATCTTAATATAGAATTTGTTTTGATCTAGGTTTGTTTAGTTTCATATTATCAATAGATGATACGAGATAATTGAAAATCACCTATCGACTCCACTTACAATCAATCTATTCGTCTGTCTGAGTCTGTTCATATTCATGCATGTTGATAAGATTTTTTTTCTAAAACTGTCATTGTTGTTCACTTACTAGCCGAGTATCTCTTGAGATCTTTCCTCGTTCCTTTTCTACGCTAAGTAAATTATGTTCTCAAATATCTGGTCTCCAGAGGTTTAAATGTTTAGAGCTGTGTTTTTCTGACTTCAGCAAGAAACCTGATACTTCATTCTTTTTTTCTTTTTGACTACGAACCTACATTATTTATTTTCTCATCTGCTTTTATTCTGGTTCTGCCATTTCTGATTTCTTTGCTTTTTTCTACTATTTTTTGGTCAGTTGTTCTATGTATGCATCTATCGATCAATAATGCATTATTTTTTAAAAAAAATTGATGGGTGCCCGAGATCTGTATTTATTTCAAGTGTTGTTTGTCGTCGATATTCGCACACTGATAAAAGTTAGAATTTCTAATGTCTCTTTTCAAAGAAGGCACACCTTCACTAATAAACATTTTTAGAGAGGTACATTGATCTTGTATTTTAATCATTTTTTAAAAAAAAATCTGCAATGTATTAAAGCAATATATTTTTCTGTAGGAATCACAGATTGTTATTATCTATATTAGACATCGTATACTAATATACTTTTGTAAGAAAGCTGAATGTAATAATGAGTTGCTCCTTTAGTTTATCATTACCCCTATATATATATATATATATATATATATATATATATATATATGGGGGTAATATTATATATATATATATATATATATATATATATATATATATATATCTGTGAGTGAGAGAGTAGAGTTGGATGAGAACCCAACAGGACAGTAAATGTAATTTTGACATGTTTCGTTGGTGAACTGGTGTCATTAGAAGATAATTTAAGAATAGGATTAATCGAATATGAACAAAGTCGTATATTTAAAAAAAAAAAAAGTTTTCCAAACTAAAATTCGTCCTTCCCGTGTCCTTGATTATCAGCTATGTTTTAGTCTCATTCACTGTAGAATTTTTAGAATCAGATCCAATTCAAAATATTTTATCCCAGAATGCTAAATACTTTCGTTAAGTAGATGACGTCTAACACATATATCAGCACAATACTAAATTATTAAATCTTAAAAACAAAATCGAACATACAAATGAATTCAGATATGTAAAAGAAACAAATAACACCTTGCCTTTTCTTAATGTTATGTTAATTCGAACAGATCTTCTATGTGCTGTGTTTCTTTAGGATGCTGGCGGTCATAGCTCTCCTCAACTTCCTGCCCTTTTTAGCCCTTAGTAAAGTTTGCCTTTTTGCTATATCTCCTACTTCCTGTTCTGCCAACCATTTATACTATCTCTTTAGGTAGGTTTTGAGCAGCTTTTCTCTGTCCCTCTTGCCTTCAGTATATTCCGTGAGTTCAAAATCTTCAAGTCCATTATGTGTTCTATGTCTTAAGTATCTATCTATCTATCTATCTATCTATCTATCTATCTATCTATCTATCTATCTATCTATCTGTTTTTGTGTGTGTGTGTGCACGCGCACGCGCGTATACACATATACAAACTTTTTATACGTCATCTGTGCACCAAAAGATTTTGTTTCTAAAATTGTTTGTATATTTGCGCAAATGCACAGAAAATTGCAAATATCTATCGCCATTAGATTATTATCCAAAACAGCTTGGACTATTAAAATAATATCTTAACAGTGTGTGTGTGTGTACCCAAGAGGAATTGATTTACTAATTCAGTAACGATAATTTTATATCTTCTCCTTAAGAATTAAAGCATATAATTATTGGTGAATTTCTTTTTCTCGAGTTTTAAAATACAGAAATCATTTAATAACTTTCAGATGCAATCAATGGCATGGAAAGAATTTCGAAATATTTTTATTTTTAAGTATACAGTATAATTTCACAAATTAACCTAAAACATTTTCGAAGAAAGCAAAATTTTAATTAATATTGCTGTTTTAAATATTTCGATTTCAGGCATAATGTTGATATAATCGAATTTTGCTTGCATAAAATAATTATATTGATTTTGTTTCCCAAGGGAATTATATTGTAAAATATGTAAAACTAATTCACGATAAGGGATATTTTATTAAGATTTCTTAAGGGGAGAGGGATATTCACATTTTATTGAGATTTTATAAAGAGCGAGGGTTGTTTATAGTTTACTGCGAGTTCGTAAGGGGAGGGGAATATTTATATTATATAAAATTTCATGAGTGGAGATATATGCTAACTCTTATTTGTGATTCCATAAGGGGAGAGGACTATTTATATGTTATTGAGATTTCAGAAGAGAGGATTATTTACATTTTATTGAGATTTCATAAAGAAAGAGGTGTATTCATTAATTTGAGTCATATGTAATTTCATTTTAGAAAAACAAATTGTAATGACCAAGCAAGGTAATAAAGACACTAAAACGGAAGAGGTTAACGGAATGAGAAGGAATATGAGAAAAATAAAAACACTGAGGAGAAAGAACAATAAAAGAAGAGTAATTAAGAAGACAGAAGGTAAAGATTTTTGAAGATGAAGCTTGACTAGAGAGGAAGAAGCCGAAAGAGAGTGCAAGAGAAGAAACAGATAGCATAAAAAATAGTTACATCTAGCTATTTCATCTGAAAAATGATGCGATCTGTCAGTCATATACTGTGCTTAAATTCATAAAGTCTAGGTACCATAGACGAAAATTCATCAGAACAATTAGAATTAAAATATCTTCACAAAAGGCATTGGGGAACTATGTTATGGCGGTGGGAAAGTGACTGAAGCTGAGATTCCAGGTCAAGACTAATAACATCGCTGATTCGTCTTTGGATTTTGTCATGAATCTCTAAATTCATAGCAGAAGCAACAGATCTTATGTGACAGAAATGTTCTTTGCATGGACGAATGGTAGACTTATAAATGCATGTTTGATTCTGACAAATATTCTAGCAAAAAACAGTGAACCAACTTTCTAAACAGCAGACTTAGCAATTGATTCAATATAATCTTTCTATTTCATGTCAGCCAGTGAAGACCTAATAAGCCACTATAATGGCGGTTAGCATCAGCCATGTTGGTGAAACGCAAAATGTGCCCTCTCTGATGATTAACAGTGAAGAATTTCAATTTGGAGGCTTTAAAATTAACAAGCCATATTTGCCTTATTTAACAGCAGATTGTAGGCCATCTTTTTATCAGCAACCAATTTCGACCTGCTCAGATTTACTATTAAGACAGGAATAAATAGTTGTGTCATCAGCATAGATAATGTGTTGAACAACATAGGTTCAATGATAGATCACTGAGAGACATCTGTATTAATGAAAAAAGATCTAGAAGAGTGACCATTCAAGACAAATTTCATTTCATGATTTGATAAGAAAGACTAAATCAGTTCAAAGATTCGTCAAGAAATACCAAAACCTTTCAATTTGGGAAGAAGACCAGTATGCCAAATCCTGTCAAATGATTTCAAGATATCTAAAGCAACAACTCGAGCTTCATCATTCTTATTTAAAAGTTGATAGACTCTTTCAGCAATAATCATTAATTCATCAGCAGTTGACATAGAGAAGTGAAAGCCATATTGTTTATCTAAAAGAGTACTCTACGAGGTGACATATTTAATCAATTTCTAGTCATCGCCTCCAGTACTTTGTCAAAAAAAGGTAGAACGCTAATCAGCCGATAGTTCCAAGTATCAGACGGTTCGTCTGATTTTTTTAAACGCTAGGACTACACAAGAGGATGATCAACAAACAGAAAGGCAAGAAGCAGCAAGCTATTTATTGTAGAGTTTAGAGAGAATAGAAACCAGTTCAGGATCACAAGAACTATTTCAGTGATACCATCATGATTTGTGGGGATCCAGATTAGAAATAGCAGTAGTGATTCAGTTGTAAGTGGAAAGTCAGGTAAAGATACTCTAGATAATTTATGAGCAAAACGTTTAGCTTTATCAGCAGATGATAACACCACAAATTAAGTATAGAGAGGAAGGATAGAAGACTTACTCTTATTTAACACACTATTATAAAACCGCCAGTAGTTACGAAAACCGAACTTGTCAGAGGCTATACGGTGCCTCGTTCTATCAACAAACAAAGACTTAGCCTCTTTCAGGACACGTTTACTATTATTACAAGCAAACACAAAGAGGCGTCTGTTGTGATCGGAACTATCACACTGGTACAGCTGGAAAAGGTGACTCCTGTGGGTTATAGCAACTGAACAAGCAGGTGTAAACCAAGGAGAAGATTGTAGTTTCATCTGGTATTCTCGAGAAGTTACAAAAGCATCGAAAACGGTTTTAACTCAAAGAAGAAAATATATATATATATATATATATATATATATATATATATATATATATATATATAGTATAGATTTCTTCCACTGAAAGTGCATTTACGTTACATAATATTAAGATAGTTCAAGAGAATAATGCTATAGAAGAATATGTATAGTTTATGGTCAAGAGTCATAACCGACTGGCAAATGTGGAACTGGTTTGCAAAGTTACATTCTAAAGAAACGGCGTTGGAAGATGAACCAAGACCAGCATTTTCACCGGTTTTTGACGGTGAAGCTGTAAAGTAATTAGCGGAATAACAATCCACGGCACCGTACTTGGTAATTAGCAAAGATATTAAGCCCATCACACTCTGTCATATACCGACATTTGGCTGATAACGACAAGTCTCCTTTCAAAACAGATAACAAACCCATTCCTTATACATACTATAACGGATGATGAAAATGGGTTACATGCGATAATTTATAACGCAAAAGGCAGTGGACTGGCAGAAATACATCTCCATAGCAGATCCCAAAATGTGAACTCGCTGGAAGAATGTTAATGTTCTGCGTGTGGTTGTGTCATCGGGATGTTATTCATTTAGAGTTCTTAAAATGTATTGAAACGCTAAAAGCACATTTATTTGTACAGCAGCTGCAACGTGTCCATGAAAGTTTGGTCAAAAACCACCTTGCACGCACCAATAGGAAAAATGCTGTTCTACATGACAATGTAAAGCCGTATCTCAGCAAGAATAACACAAGTAAAAAGTTGCTCTCTTCTAAGTCACTCAACAAATTCACCTGGCGTTGCACCAACTCCTTATTAACTTTTTTTGTTTCTTGCAAAACTCTTTGATGGGGGAATACTTTCTCTAATAAAAACAGGACTTAAGATTTCGTCAAAAACATTTTCGTATCAAAATCAACGGAATTTTACTCAAAAGTTACCGAAGATCTGCTTGATAGGTGGCAACAAGTGATTGTAATTAATGATGAATATGTAAATGAATAAAATGTAATTTGGCTTTATTTTTTGAAATTGATAAACAAAACGGAAATTATTCATGACTCAACCTAATAAATATATTTGAGATTTTATAAATAGAAAGAGAGGTATTTACATTTCATAAGGATGGAGAGAGAGAGAGAGAGAGAGAGAGAGAGAGAGAATGAGAAATATTTATACTCTATTGAAATTTCATAAAAGGGGAGGATAATTATTTTTATCCTCATTAAAAGGTACACATTTCCGCTTTTTACATCATTTGAAATCAATAAATAAATTGTTATAGATGCAATAGCTATTTTTTTATTTTAATTAATTAATTATATTTTGGGAAATATTTAAATATGTTTCAGGTGTTCAAATTCTGTTGCTGCTAAACTTTTAAAAATCTAGTGCAAGGATTTGCGTTTCAGCTCTTTTATAATTCAATTAGCGATTTTTGTTACAGATATTAATCACACAGTACAAACATAACTAAAATAATTCACAAAGACGCACCAGTAAAGTTTGAATAATAAAGTTTCCAATTTGAAATGTATAATATTTTAATGTGGTCCATGAATTTTCCCAGTACTGTTTATGTGTGTGTGTGCGTATGTGTGTGTATGTATTTTTAGAAATAAATTGTCACAGAAATTTGTGCTCCAAAATAAAAATATTCAATTCAAATATTTTAACTTTCCTCATTTTCCTGTGGGTAATTTGTAGTTTGTTTAATGAACTTGAAATTCTCCATTATTATGAGGGATTTTTGCAGGATGAAATAAATTTAAACGATAAATACGATAGCCATTAAAAAGTACCATCTTACAGTCGCTAGTAAATATCCACATGTTTTCTCAAATGTTTTTCTCGATGTCTTTCCTCAGCATATTCTGCATCTTAAGAAATCCAACAATATGAAAATAGGCTCTTTTGGTGCAATACTGAATTTTTGAGTTTGTATCGATTTCCGTTTCAGACATATATTTTGCTATCCATTTTTTTTTTTTTTGTATAAGAATTGTCTGAATAAATTCAATCTTTTAACAACAGATCTGACCATTTATTCCACATTCCACTTGTCTATAAGTCTATTATTAGTATAATCATCGTACGGTAATACTTTCGCAACATCAGAAAAGAACTTTTTGTAAAAGTCACCAATAGTAATAGCGAATAGTCAAATAACTGAATTGTCTATAAAAAAAAAAAGATTGTCACGATTTAA